TCACTGGTTCATTACAGTGAGGTGTCACAATCAGTCATAAGAAAAAGCCACAGGTGCTTGGGATAGGTGTCCTTGGAGGGGTGTCACATGTTCCTTCTCATGTTCACACACAGGTTTCCTCTCTGCAGCACCGGAGTTCCAGTGATGCTGACCAGATTGCGTTTGGCATAGGACCCTCTGGTCCATGTTAAGGGGAACTATGGTTTTTCACGGGGAATAGGCCATGACCTGGGTGGGTTTATACCTCATTGTTACCTTTATTTGAAACCAGTTACTCTGAGTTGGTGGTTAGGGTATCAGTGAAGTATAAATGGAATGTATATCTTTTGTAGCTAGAGGAAAATCCCTTTACAGCCTCATGCTAAATATATTACGTAGTAAGGAGTCTTTCTGATTTCTGCTGTGTGCAGACAAGGGTCTCTGTAGTAGTAGTGGCTTCAGAAATAGGGATTAAAGTGAGTTTTTGGTGGAAGATAATGATTCATCTAAATTCTACAGGGACACCTATAGTGACAGAAGTGGAAGCAGCTCCCCTGACTCTGAAATCACTGAATTGAAGTTTCCATCAATAAATCATGACTGATCTGGTAAAGTAAGTGACATGTTTAAGCTTCAGTTGAAAAAAAAATGGTGATAACATACTGGGATTGCAAAAATATCATGAAAGTTTATGCTGAAAATCTTTATCTGCCAGAGAATGAAAGTGATGAGGTCACAAAATTGATGACTTCTTCTCTAAGTTACAGCACACCCATCTCCTCTGCTTTGGGGGCTGTAGTGGGGGGGGTACCAGTCACTAGGCAGTTGTCTCTTTACCGATTGCTATAATTAGGTGCCAATCTTACCATTCTGGTGGGACTGGATGCTTAGACTCTGTTGTTTCACATAACCACAGACTTGGAGATCTTGAAGGAGGTGACAGGTATGACAATACATCATTTGTCAGTTTTTCAGCACCTCAAGCTTTCATCAGGAAGTGCTTTAAAACCAATACTGCTTGTAAAACAGTATTGTGTTGATTGCTGCTTATTCTGGAAATGCTTTAAAATTCAAACAATTTTGGAACAGACTTTGAATGTTTGTCTTTATGGTTTTCTAAGTTTATAAAGTGCAATAATTGTGGGCACTGCCATGATTTGAAAAGTCCTTTATGATAACCAAGTGGACTGTGTTGGCAGAAATACAGTCTATGGTGAGGGTACCAGAAGGGGTGAAGTGTCAGTCAGGAATATGTGGGGTCTGAAAGGAGAACCAGGGATGTGGGTGTGGTGCCCTGAGGCTCTTTCCCTGAGGCATGGGCAGATGGCCCTCCCTGATCCTGTGTACAACGTGTTCACCACCACTGGGCCTCTGGTGCTGGTCCGGTGCTTGTCCGATATGATCATGACCATTTCCCCTTTTGCCTTGGCTGATTGGCCACCTGACCTGTGATAATCTTCAGTAAGTGGGCAGGCATGAGAAGTAAGTTAGTGTCAAGAGGAGGCCTTGGTTCTCACTCCATGCCAGGTAAGCATTTAACACAAATGGATTCATTAATTCTGAGAAAATAGTTTGCTGTTGGCTGTTTGACAGTCTAAGAAACTGATATAAGGGCCGGCCCGTGGTTCACTTGGGAGAGTGTGGTGCTGACAACATCAAGGCCATGGGTTCGGATCCCTATAGGGATGGCCCGTCCACTCACTTAGGAGAGCGTGGTGCTGACAACCCCAAGCCAAGGGTTAAGATCCCCTTACTGGTCATCTTTTAAAAAAAAAGAAAAGAAACTGATATAAAGAGAAAGGAAACTTTAACAGTAAAGGAGGCAGATAGTTGCTCAACTATATGGAATTTCTGACTGCCTCACAAATGGAGAATTGCTTGTCGACACTGTTAAGAGGTGGGGTGCTCTGGAAAAAGAATGCTTGTATAGGGGCAGAGGTATAATTCGATAAGCGATCTTGAAAATGTATGATTCTGTGGGAATTACCAGTTTAGCTTCCAATTATTCCTATTGGCTCCTACTACTGTTCTGCCATGAAAAACAAGCATAGCTTCCTATGGCAGCTGATAAAAATTCTAACTTTTCTACTTTAATATGCATCATTTAATTGCTAAAAAATTCTTTTTTGAACAGGAATGATTCTTCAAGAGAGCCTTCAAACTTTGAGTTTACAGCTTTGATTTTACACTCGGCTTTTGACACTTCCTTTAAATTATGTTTTTATTAAGATTATTTTATTATGGGGTAAATGTATTTGGAAAACTCTGTCACTTGCATGTTCCATCACGTATTCTGGCTCCTTCTACATGATGTGCTGCATGTTGTGCGACCCTCTCCTTTGCAGTTCTTGGGTTTCTAAGAGGAAAAGTGGAACATCTGGACAGGAACTGATGATGGATGGGGCCAGCAGAGTGCCCCATTGATCTCCTTGTTTCTCCAACTACCTCGCGTCATTGTGGATTCGAGTGCATTGCCTGTTGCTGTCCCTTGGACATCTAGACCGTTATAAAGTGTGCCATGTGGATTTAACAAGCGCAGAAAGATACTTTTAGCTTATAACACTTGGTGCTGGTAACCTGTGGGTGTTGCTTGCCACTGCCACTAAGAGCAGTGAAGCCGGAGACAAATCTCATTAGTGCCCTGAGTTGGGACTCGGTGCCAACTGTGGCTGGTCCTCGTTGTCCAAAGGGATGGTCAGTTTGGTGTCATGTGAAACAGCAAGAAATCTGTCTCTGAAGTGTGATTTTAAAATCCCCGCGCCTCTGGCTGCGCTTCCTATTCCTGGGGTTGGGAAACACTCCTTGCATCAAGGGGTCACTTGAAGAAGAACAAAGAATCTTTTGGGGAATCTGCCTCTAAAACCCTCTCATATATAGACAGCTTTGACTTGAGGGTACTTTTTTCTTCCAGGACGGTGTTACTGCAATTAAAATGCAATATGAAAAGCTATTTTCTTAATGTGACGTAATAATAGCCACAGCCACGTGCCTACTATATTCTGGCTGGACTTGATGTGTGCTCTAACTTAAGAAATAAATAATGCAGAACGTGACACATGCTTTGTCATTCTCTTTATGTTGTTGGCCGGATGCAAAATGTCTGAGCACGATGCTGGGCATGCCTGTGTTCAGTCACCTGAGCTGTGGGTGTCAGGCTCTCCTCCTGGTGAGCAGCCTCAGGTGAACAGTCTGATAGTTTGTTTAAACACTAAGAGATGAGCTTTTCTTTTTAATAGGAACCAGAATTTTGAAAAGGCTTCAAATATAGGTTCTCAGCAATAAAGAGAGATAAAAAGAATGGGTGCTGAGTTTGCTGCTTGGTGTTGAGCAAGGAGAGGAGGAAACATGTTGTTTTTGATGGAAATCCTTTCCTCTGCTGGGCACTGGACTTGGGGACCTCACATGCCTAGCCAGGGAGTGGCAGACCAAAGACTGTGTCTGCCACAGGATTGTTTTATCCCCCAGCTGTCCCTCCACCCTCAGCCTTCTGAGTCAAAGGTCACTGTCCCAAGTCGTTTTTCCTCCAAAATGAAATGGTGAGGTGTTGGTGGTGTTGGCGCCCACCCATCCTCTGGCCCCTGAACACACCTACTTACGGACGAGCCGGCCCCTCAGCAAGGTGTGGCTGAGCAGGGTCTCAGATCTCAGACTGGCATGCTTATCAGTAGTATCAGCCTTGACTCATTGAAATTTGAGAAATGGGGGGTTGAAGAGGAAAATGTTTCTCTCTCAGCATTTGGCCCAGCTCCTACGATAGAGAGATCCAGAAAGGAATTTGGCTCGCTTTTATCCTCCCGCTCATTAGTCCAAGGCCACTGTCACCCTTGAGGCCTAGAAGCCGGTGTCTTGCTTCCTGACCAAAGCCAGCTGCTGTTGTGTACCTCTGTTTTTCACAGACTGAAATAAATAGCTTCACTTACACAGCTCTTCACACTTGTCTTGGTACTGTGAATGTGGCTGATTGAGCACAATTCTAACACCGTTCCAACCTGGTCGCCCCATCACACAGTCTTCAGTTTTTAAAAAAACCATTCCCCAAACTCAGGGTGTGACATACTCATTGGGGACAGCTCCTTCCAACAGGGACGACTTGGTTAGTGGTGGAGTGGTTTGAAAAAGCCTCCTCACAGTCTTGTTTCTGCCCCGCCTTTAAGATGGCCTCAACTGGCCAATTGTCAAGTGCTGGATGCTCGCATAACCCTTCTGAGACCCCAAATGGCTCTCCAGGGCTTGAGAAGCCCAACCTGCTCCACCACCCAGGCTGTAGCAGACAGAACAGTACCAGGCACAGGGGCCAAAGCTAGGCTGCACAAGAGGGTGACCTTCCAAGCCCAGTGTCTGCTGACCAGCTCCTGGAGGCTTCTCCCTGTGGGGAGGAAACCTGGTCATATTTCTCCTGTGTCCTTACAATAAACTTCCAGGTTATCCAAGCAGGTTCTCAGCAGTCTGGAGCAGCTGAACTAAAGCTGGTCTTCACCTCGCCTTTTTAGAAACTGGCTATTTCCCAAAAAAAGCATTTCTGAGGATTATGATGCCTGGACTAGCATTTAGCCTGGTGCCTGGGATGTGGAAGGTGTTCAGAAATGCTGCTCCTCTGACTTCCTGAGTAAAGAATTCTTTGTGTAGTTCTCAAGCAGTCTTAGTGACCCTGGGGCAGCTCAGTGGGTGAGTAACAGGAGTCTGGGAACCTGTCATGATACATGCATCTGTTACCACGTTTGATTCCTATAACCCACGTGAGTGGTAGCCAAGGCAGGGGTTGTATCCTGGTTGATACCTGGGAAAACCAGGTCTCTGCAGTTCTAGGAGATGTTGCCTTGCTGGTGAATGGAGGCATTGGGGTTCCAAAGCTGTTCTCTTCTGTCTACACCATGGATGTGGCCATGGGTCTCTAGACCAAAGAAGTGAGAGGGGATCTACTGAAGTGTGTGCCATGGAACCCCAGTAATGTGAAATGCCCTGTTTAACAAGCTTCCAGCATTTTCTGGTAGTTCAGACCCAAAATTTAGGAGTGTCCTTGATTGTTTTATCAGCAGATATTTATTAGGTATCTACCACATGCCAGCTGTACTTTTAGGTTCTGAACATAACAGCAGTGAACAACACAGACCCAAATCCCTGCCCCCGGAGCATGTGCTTTAATCAGGGAAACACCAAATAAAACCTACAGAGGGTAACAGTGCTATGGAGCAAAAAGATGGATGCAGAAAGGGAGGGAATGGAAGCACAGGGGAGGGTATAATTTAAAACAGTGGGTAGGCAAGCTGAACACACATTTGAAGGTGGAGAGGAGAGGAAATCTGAGTCATGCAGCTATCTAGAGGAAGAGTGTTCCAGGCAGGAGGAGCAGCTAGGGCAAAGACCCTGAGGCAGGAGTGCTCCTGAAACAAGTTAGTCAGCACAGCTGGAACGGCTTGTGCAGGGGCAGGACTCGAGGCCAGATGGGCTAGGCCGTGGAGAACTGTGTAGGTCACTGTTCGGGCTTTGCTCTTGGTGTGGTGGGGAGCTTGGAGAGCTTTGAGCACAGGCACAGCATGATCAGACTCTGGCTTTCCAGTCTCTGGCTCAGCTGGAGATGGCGAGGGAAACGGCCAGAGCAGGAATCCTCTTCAGTGGCTGGAGGGGGTTTGGAATGGAAGTCAGACCCTTCCTGTGTCATGGCCGGCAGAGACACAGGACACTGGCCTGAGGACAAAATGCCTTTGCCCCTGCCCACTGTCACTATCTTAGGAGTGAAGAACTGAAGCAAAGAGGCAAAGCACTTTGCCCCAAGGCACCTGGTCTTTAAGATAGAGCTGGACTGGAGCCTGGCCATCCAGGCTTCTTTCCCCCAAAGCTTTGTGTGGTAGGAGCCCAGGGTTGGCTCTGTCTCCTGGACAGAAGTGGGCTGGGATTGGGACTCGACCCAGTAGCATCTAACCGGCAGACCAAGTGTCCTAGAAATAACCATTCTTGCCCCAGGAGCATTTAATTTATTAGGGAGCATTGGTAATCCCAAGTTCCAGCAAGTCAGGGTTGGGGGCTGCAGGGTGGCCTGTTTGCCCTGTAACCACAGTTACCAACTATGCCTCACCATCTGGGAGGGGCTTTTCCAAGATGACAAATTCTTTTCTGGCACTGTCTAGCTAACTGGAGTCATAGACCCCAGCCTGGGAAAAATGAGCATTTTAGGAAGAGGGACAGCCCCTTACAGCTCAGCCCTAGAGTAACTCTGGCCAAGTTTTTTACAAGTTCTTTCTGAGAGTAAGATTCCTTGGGGGTCGTGCTGAGAGCAATTTCTTAGCCACATGGACTGGGATCTGCTGAGGGTAGAAGCCATGTGGGCACCAGCTGTGTGCAGTGTTGGAAAGAGGAAACTAGAGCTCCTGTCCACCACTGAGCAGCCCAGATGGGTTTTATTGGTAAGACTTAGATTCAAATAGGAAATCGCTGCATCTCCCTGTGGAGAGCGCTGCACTGTCCTCCCTGCTCACTGGGGCCATCACAGGACGCAGCAGGTGCAGGAGATGGGCCAGGGCCGCTGCAGCTGCTGCTGGAGCTGCTCCTTCTCCACCGTCAACACCTTCACCTTCTCCTTCAGATCGTCCAGCTCTCCCATCCACTTCTGGGGGACATCATAGAAACAGATGGCCGAGCTGCCATTACCTCAGGCCTGTCCATCCTCCACCTGGGGTTGAACTGATGGAGGAAGGCAAGACCCAGAGAGTCTGGGGGACCTCCCAGCTAGGTGGGGAAGCTGAGTCCCTTGGCCTTGCTGCAACCTCTGACCAAACAGCTCTGGGGTCTGGAGGGAAGCTGCCACCATGCCGAACCCTGGCCACATCCTTTCCCCACTCTGTCAGCCTCCCTCACCTGCTGTTTTTCCACCAACTGATGTTCCCTTCTTGAAAAGGTTTTTCCTTGGGACTGTGTCTAGCACTCCCCTACCCCCTGTTTTGGGGGTCTCCCCTAAAGTGCAGTCCAGTCCTCTGGATTTCTTGTAACTTCCCTATATTCTAATCTCCCCACTCCCTCAGCCACTCAAGGATTGAATGCTTTAATGACCCGAGGCGGGGGTGGGGGGGGCAGTAG